GCTCGTGCTTAGGATGAGGGAAGATCCCCACCCCTCCCCCTTGATAAGTACTGTTTTCTTGAGGGACCCCTTAACAAGTACTTCATATTAACAAAGTGCTAACATACCCCTTAATCTACGCATCTCCATGTATCATATCTAGAAAAAGCTCTTAAAAATTTCTGTGGAAAAAATGTGCTCGACGTGTTATTAAAACTTCAAACTCACTGAGAAACAAGAAAAAGATGATGATACATCATATAGTGGTTATTGCCTCTTTGATAACTCGTGCGGAAAAAACTTTCAATAAATATGTCTTATATGCTTCCTTCAAAAACTCCGATGAGAAAAGTATGAAGTATGACATAAAATCTTGTGTTGAAATTACCTTATTAGAACCTTGAGAGTAGTAAATTAAAAGAAATACGAATCTTCACATAAAATCCATGACACGGGACTTGGGTGTGCATTACTTATGGCACATCTAGGTGCACAAAAATGAGCAACTGGGATGTCCACGGGGTTCAGCATGCACCATGGAGAAAACTCAGGCACAGGTCCTGCCAGCTGTCGCCAATAAGAGCACCAGGAGCAACGTCGCATGGCTGGATTTTTTTGTCCAAAAGAACTACTTGCCGAGTCAAATTGATGAAAAAGGCCATCTTTAAAAAAATGACAAAAGGGACCAGCTAGGCCGCGGGGGAGACGGCAGGACCTGCCGCCACGACAGCAAGCGGCAGCCCTGGAATTACCGGAGACGAGCGAGACCAGCTGCTGCAACGGAATTGGATGGGCTAGTGGGCCCTGCCGCCATACACCGTGGCGGCAAGTCTCCAGCAGCAGCTCGGCTGTGTCTCTATGCTCTCTGTTTTATTTGATGTTAGAGTGTGAAAATATGCAAGTATGACTGAAATTTAAACCAATATGAAGGCTGATTTTGAAGATGTTGCAGTTGAAGAAAAGATAGACCCAGATGAGATCCATCCATTTTTTATGTTTTTTGCTTACATGCACGATCATTTCGTACTTTCCAAATGCTCCAAAACACTCCTCAAAATATTATTAAATGCCTAATATAGCAGTGAATACAATGTTAGAGCATCTTCAACAGCCGCGCTATACTAGCGCCGCGCTGCAAATTAGTCAGCTTTAGCGTGCGCGCAACGCGGCGGGTCGCTCCAGCGGGCGCGCAAAAAACCGCGCGAGCTAAAACGAGTTGGGCGCGCTGTCGGAAACACTGCCCTGCGCGGTGTATTTCGGGCGCCCGCTGCAACGCGCGGCACACTCGAGCGCTCACTCTCGCACTTCCTCTCCCG